AAATCATGAATGAATAGAAAATGATAGAGAGACAATAGATGAGCATTGGTGATGACTGCACACTATCAGTAGATTGACATCAGACTTCACACTAGTATCAGTAGATTGACATCATTAAGAGCAAATTTTATTCCTTATTAATTCACTCCTGTTGTTTGTTGCTTTTTTTGTATTAGTACTACTAGTATTATTCTCTTTCTTATCTGCTACAAAATGTATTACAAACACAAAATCTATCACTAGTCGTACATATATTACCAGGACCACCAAAACTAATCACGCCCTATTTTTGATGCTGCATTCCTCAACTTTAAAACACATTCAGCAATGATACTGTTTGTAGTAATGTCACTATTAGTACTACTATACTATTTAAAGACCCCTCTGCAACAACATTACTAATAATATAATACAGCAACAACAATTGCAATTTGACTACTCCTACTAGTACAACTACTAATTCTTGTAGTAGTACTAGTGATGGTGATTGTGATTGTAAACAGTATGGTGCATGATATCACTTATTGTTAATGGTTCTACTATTCATGATCTTCCATTGGTGCTTTGTCACCACAGTGGCTGATACTACTAGTACTATGTACTGCATCTCTATCAACAACAATGTGAAGAAGAAGCTACCTAGTATCACCAGCAGCAGCACCAGAATTCTTGGTGGATTCCCCCTCTCTTCTACAAGTACTAGTACTAGTACTACTACTACTACTAGTACTACTACTACTACTAGTTTTAGTAGAACGAATGGTGCTTTTCCCCCCTTTATTTCGGACGGACCCCCGAAGGACAAACACCGTGCCGTGGCCGTCCCGTTCGCTGGCTCTTGCGCCGCTCGTTTCCAACGGCTCCCGAGGGGAGGCCGCGCGTTCCGGTCCCGGGAGAAGCGGGAACCCACGGCCCGTGTGTCATTGCGGGGCGCGCGCGCACCCCGAGCGACTCCGACGATTTTCGAGCGTACCCGTCGTACGAGCAGACCGTCCCTCCGACCCACCCAACAACTCGCGCGGTGGGGGCGGCGGGGGGGGTCCGTTGCTGTTGTGCACTATGGACCAGACTGTGACGCCGCCGCGTGCCGAGGCCACCGGGCGCGTGCAATCCGTTCCATATGCAGTGCAGTACGTACCGTACGGTACAAGTACGGGACGGGAGGGCATCGATGCACGGAACACATACACAGCGAAATAGAATTTTGTCAGTGGAACGAGTACAACTATGAGTTCTCGCGTAACTCGTAGTTTCCGTCTGCGCGGTGCTGTTCCATGGAACAACCCTCGAAGAGGCTTCGGCAGAGCCCGGCATCGTCTCGTACTCGTACTCGTATTCGTACCCGTACTCGTACCACTGATGATAGAACTGCCAGTACGTAGTCGTAGTAGTGCAAGTACGAGTAGTACTTGTATTGCCACTGCTTCAAACCGTTCTTTGCGGGTTGCATTACGAAATACTCGGAGCTTGCTCCTGTTCCTTCACGAGGAATCGAATCACCAAACCAACATCGACATCGACATCGACATCGACATCGACATTGACATCGATATCAACACCAACGATACGATACCAAACCAACAACAGAAACACCACGACTCGCAGCAAAACAGGATCGCGAGTGCCACAGAACCACACCCCAGACTGCCGAAGGGTCGAAATCGGTTTCAAATCCGTAGAAAGAATCGATTCGTGGGTTCTGTCTGATTTGCTTGCTCGCCCAGCGAATGCCTTCGAAGCGTAGAACACAGCGCACGGGTTGACGGCGGGAGCAGAGAGAAGAGCTGGGTGGGGATTGGCTGTCGTCGTCGTCATCGCCACCGTCATCGCCGTTGCCGTGGTCGTTGCTAGCAGCCCGCAATCGTGATTGCAATCGTTGCACCGGAGAGATCGGCGTGGAGAGTGCCGATCCACACGAAGGATGAGGTCCCCGAACGAGGACACCGACAACAACAACGGCAAGGGCAACGGAAACGACAACGACAACAACGCGAACGAGGTAGCTTCTCCCGATGGATCCCGGATGATTTGCGGGGCTTTTACCACCGGCCACACCGACAGCCCCGGCATCATCCACAGCAGCATCCTCAGCGACATTCTCAGCGACGTGCACAGCGACATGGACATGAACATGGACAGAGACGGTGCCAACGGGGAGAAAAAGCCGGTGCGGGTCTCTTCGAAGCGCCGAACCAATCCCAGGCCGCAGAAGAGCAAGAACCGCAGGCGTCCCGGCTACGATCCCCGGTCCGGCCTGCCCTCGGGACTCCGGCTGGAGCTGCGCCCGGAGCACTCGCATTCCGCCCAGTCGCCGAACCAAACGCAGAGCACACCCCGACGGCCGGTGGACCTCGTGTGCTCGCGGTTTCCCTCGGGGGCGTCGGTGCTGCCGGGCGTCGGGGGAATGGACGTGGACGTGGACGTGGACGTCTCGTGCGGGGCCATGAACCCCTTTGCGGCGGGCGACCTTCCCTACAACTCGGCCGGGATCTCTCTGGCGAGCCCCCGGTCGGTCGACACCTTCCTGTCGGACCACTCCCGCTCGAGGCGGAGGCGGAGGAACGCAAGCGCAAGCGCAAGCGCAAACAGCAATGCAAACACGGCATCGCCGACGCACACCGCTACCACGGCGTCGAACTACCATTACCGACACCACCACCAAGGCAACGCCTCCGTGTCCCCCTCCCACTCTCGTTCTCGGCTCCGTTCCCACTCGCGTTCCCGACTCACCATCAGCAACGCCAACCTCCCAAAGACTAGGCAGGGCAGGAGGAGGTCCAGCACCGGTGCCACTGCTTCCGCACGGAGGGTCGAGCGGTTCAACTACGCCAAGGCCCTCCTCCGGTCCGACCACGAGCTCGAGAAGCTCTCGCGCAAGATCCGCAACGAGATCCACGAGTCGGAGCTCTACGAGGTGGCCAGCGCCGCCGAAAAGGCCGCGGATTCGGGTGTCGACAACTTTTACGGGAGGCCGTCGACCTTTGGGAGGGCCAGGGCGGAAGGGGCCGCGGGGGGGGGATCGGCGACGCGACAGCGGGCACCCCCGGGCGTGGGGATGGGCGTGGGGTACAAGGCGGGAAGCCCTGCGCCAACGAAAGCGAGAACGACAGCGACAGCGACAGCGAGAACGACAACAACAACGCCAACAACAACGCCAACGCCGACACCGGTGCCCACGCCCACCAAACCGGACGCCGGCCGTTTGCCGTTGGAAACAGACCACAGCAACATTCACGCAAACGTGTCTGTGTCTGTGAATGCGAATGCGAATGGCAATGCCACTACGAACTCTAGCGATAGCGAAAGCGACAACCAAAACAACAACAACAACAACAACAGCAAGAGCAACATCGTCAACATCAACAACCACCAAAACAACAA